TATATAATTTTTATAATTCAGTATGGGTTTAATAGTGCTATCTTTATTTCTTTTCTTTTGTTTTCTTTTTTCTTTTCATTATTTGTTTTGTTTAGTTTTATTTGTTTAGATGGACCAGAATTTAACATTGAAATATTTTTACATTTTTTTTTGCTCTTTGTATTTGTGTCTGTGCTTTGTTTTATAAAAAGAAAAATCAACTCTGATATAGTGTGTGGTATCTGCCTATGATCAAAGAATACCCCTAGTAAGTTAGGGGCCCGGAAAGAGGCTTGAAGTTCACTGAAGCTGGTTATATCTGGCAAAAACATGGGTAAGCTGCTTTGCAAAGAGATTAGTATAGCTATTATTAGAAAATATAAATCTCTTAGTTTAGTTTAATCTCAAATAAAAAGTGACAGGACAGCTGAATATGAAAAAAAAAATTAAATTATTTTAAAATTTTAAAGTTTATACAAATTTATTTATTTTATTTTATTTTTATTATATTCAAGGTGTGGTTATACTTCTGGCTTTTATTATTAATACTTATCTATTACAACTTATGTTGCAGTATTACATATTAATTCATATAATATGAAATGAACTACAAAGACTTAAACAATTATCTATGACCTATATTTACCAATATTTTTTATATTTCACATATAATTAATCTGAATTTTGCTTTTCAACTAACTATTTTAATAATTATTATATTTCTCCTATATCTTACTATACTTAACTATAACTTCTAATTTGGTTTTATCAGATTATTTTGCTTTTTATAAACTTTCAATTTGGTATAACTAATAATCTATTGAAGGTACAGGTGGTCTTTATATAGCCTGTATCTTAAGCCAGAAACTTGCTGTTTAGTTAGGTTCATTATATGAAGAAGTTGATATTTTATTGTCAACAAGCCTTCTACTTATTTTCTTAGATACTACTAACTTGTATCTCAAGCCAAGTTTTTGCTATCTCTGCTAGTTTACATCTTAATATTCTTTTTCTAATATAGTGCTACTAGCTAATCTATTTGTATTCTTTATATAGTGTATTACCAAAACCATATTTTGTAAATTACCTTAATAATCTATTTTATTAAAAACTAGCCTAATACTATAAAATTTCTTAAGTAGCAGATATTCTACTTTCAACTATAGGCTTTGTATTATGTTACTAAGAGAAAGCTTCTTAATTTATCCTTAACTTTCAGCTTGAACCTAGTCTATTAGCTGGTATTAAATTTGTATTAGCATATTCTAGCTTCTTTTGTTATAGACTTCCTTATAAATATAGTTAAAACTTTCTGACTTGATATATACTAGATTAAACTAGTTTTTTCTTTATATAACTTTTTTATTTAGCTAGCTATTCTAAGATGTTAAAGGTATTTCTAATTTAGATAAGGCTAATTCTTTATTACAGCCCTTTTATATATTTACTGCTTTTCTTATCATTCTAGTTTTAGTAGTGTATTACTTTTTTAATTAAATACCCAATGCTATTTCTAATTAGAACTAATTTGCACAATCTGTTGATCATCTTTTTAATCAAGTATTTTACAAGTTGGATGCAGGAATATTGGTACTGTTTAATTAGAAATGAAAGGATATTGGTACTGCCTTTAGGTTATCTTAACTAAAAGACTGATTTGTACAATCTTCTATAATCTAAACTATCTGTGATATACTATTAAATATGATATCTGTATTCTATGATTAGGGCTCCTTTCAAAAATTCCTATTCCAAAACTATACTTGTATTTAGACTTTTCACAAGGTTTTGTATTCGATTATAGCTTTATTATAGATTACAATAACAAATTTTAAAATTTGCTACCAGCCTGACTTGAATCATTAATCTTATCTGTAGGAGTTTGAAAGCTTAATTAATAAGCTATAAGACTTAAACCCTTTGTTTATACAAATTTATACAAATAACTTTTCTTAATAATTACTTGTATGGTGCATGTAGTCTAGAATCGGCGTCACGTGACAAGAGTGGCCAATTTTATTAGCACTAAGAGGTATGTACGTCGTATATATGTAAATCCGAATAGAAGATCGTCGAACTTAAAAGATGAGCACGTATTTCCTAAAATTTCTGAAATTAACTTAAATTAGCTTAAATTTTTTTCATTGTTCACCGAAATTAACTTAAATTAGCTTAAATTTTTTCATTGTTCATTATTTACACAAAATAATGTGAAATCGATTGTGTGAGATGATACAATAACTTATCAAATTTTTCTTTCACACAATGGTATCGATTATTTGATTGCAAACTAGGTTTCATAGTTTCTTTCACACAATGGTATCGGTATCGATTTTTTGATTGCAAAATAGATTTCATAGTTAAGGAGTTAAGGATCAAAAATGAATAAATTTTTTTCACACGATGCGTATCAATTATGCAATTATGTTGTAATAGTCAAGGGTCAGAAATGAATAAATATACCAGTAACGGTAATAATAGAGCATAGAATAGATCTTAGCGTTAAATTTGAATCTTTAAGGGACTGACGAAGTTATACATATGGTTAAGGTGGATGGAGTGAACTGAAGAATGACGGGAAAATCAACTAATGTATAAAGCGAACACTTACATTTCATTAAATATATAATATATTATCGTTATCGTTACAATAAATAAAATAAATATAAAAAAAAAAGAAAAAAAAAAAAAGAAAAAAAGAATAAAAAAGAATAACAAAAAGGTTGTTTGGGACTATCTGATAATTAATAACAAAAAAAAACCCCAATATCTTAACCCAATTTAATCCTAGTCGCAAAATTTTTGATTGGGATAGTTAAAATTTGACTCCAATTTATTTACTTTAAAGCCACTACAACCATTACTCGCCCAAACAAAAGGAAGCAGCAACTTAAAGCTGCTAAGGCCAAAAAGTGTGTGAAGAAATCTCATGTATTTCATGAACAAACAGATTATAAGAATCTGGTTTGGTCAGATCAAGATATTGATGAGAGGGCTTCCGATTTCTTTACTATTTTATTAACGGCTAATGAAAACAAAAATATCTGGAAACCTTCGGGTAGGCCTTCAACTTATATTGGAGGTTCTAAAAGAACTCAAAGACGCAAAAAAGCGGAGCTAAAGAAGGCTGCACAAGACACTCGATCTATCACTGCTTACTTTGCTTCTGCCTTAACGTGTTCTAATATTGTATCAGCTTCGACTTCCACTTGCGAATTGTCAACAGAATTACATGCATCAATGGAAATGGAATCAGTAGAGGTGGAATCAATGGAGATGGAATTAGTAGAGATGGAATTAGTGGAGGTGGAATCAGTGGAGGTGAAATCAGAATCAATAGAAATAGGATCAACAACGATGGAATCAGCAGTAGACGCATTAGTAGAAAAAGATATCGATGAGAGAACAAAAATAAGGTTGGCAATTGAGGAGTTGGATAGGATGTTAAAAAAGGATGACAATCAAATAGATAAAGGCGTAAAGATTCACTTGCAAGCGTCATTGCAATACTTATGGTTAAGATACCAGGGTCAGACTAGAATAAGCGCAAGTACAACAATTGCCAGTTCGTTAGGATGGGGAGACTATAAAGCATGATGTATTGGTGCATAGGCTCAAAATTGGATAAAGTGGCGAAAACTTCCAAAAGAGAATCGTGGTAAATTTACGAAAGTATCAAGCCTTCTTGATGATGAGAGGATATCTATGAAGGTATTTTTTTTTTTTTAGTAGCGATTTTGGTTATAATGTTTTAATTTCTTGTAATTCACAATTGGCATACTTTGAACAGATAATGTCATATCTAAGAAGTCATAAGTTTAATGTGAATCCTAAAATTTTAAAAAACTACGTCGAGAATGAGGTACTCCCTTCTTTAGGCATTGAAACAAAAACAACTATATGTGATAAAACAGCATGAAAATGGCTTAGAAACCTGGGATGGGAATGTAAAGAATGGAAAAAGGATATATATGTAGACGGACACGAGCGAGAGGACATGGTGCAATATAGGCAAACGATTTTTTTGCCGATAATGAAGGAATTAGAGCTCGTTCTTCTTGAATATGATGACAAAAATCTTATTAAACTAGTAGAGAAGGAAATTCCTTCTAAAGAAAAGCGGCATTGTGTAATAATACATGATGAGACAACATTATCTGCAAATGATGATGAAAAAACGGGATGGGGGCCCAAAGGTTATATGTTAGAGATTGGAATTTGTGATTTATTTGTTATTTGCAAACTAACCTTACACCATTCTGATTATTAATAGGTGAACAAAAAATACGTCCAAAAGGATAGGGCAGGGGCATTCATGTTAGCGAATTTTTGTGTAAGCCACTGGGTCAGGTTCATTTAACTGAAGAACAATATGCAGCCCATCCTGAAATCTCAAAACGTTACATTACGGAGCTGTTAGAAATTGGTGTAAACTACGAAGATTATTAGAATGTTGAATTGCTGGCCAAGCAGCTTGAACGGACAATTGACATTTTGAAAATTGCACTTCCGGATACGATATTTGTCTTTGGATTCGATAACAGTACCAACCATAGAGCCTTCGCTAAGGATGCACTAGTAGCGAGAAGGATGAATATCAATTATGATGGTAAGCAACCAAAATTGCGCCCTGGTCGATTTTCTGATGATACACCTCAAGAGATGGTCTTTCCGTTAAATCACCGAGATAAAAAAAAAAGAGGACAACCAAAAGGGATTAAAGAAGTAATGATAGAAAGAAAGATATGGAATGAACGATTAAAAGGCAAATGTGTTAAATACTCGAAGGATGAAGAGAAAATATGTTGCAATATGAAAAAATTGGCCAGGCAGCCGGACTTTATGGAACAGAAAAGTATTCTTGAGGAAATTGTTCTTGGGAGAGGTCATAAAATTTTTTTTTATCCTAAATTTCATCCGGAATTGAACTATATTGAATATTATTGGGGGCAGTAAAGAGATATGCAAGAAGCCACTGTGATTATACTTTTCGAGGACTAAGAAAAACTGTACCAGAGGCTCTTGGTTCCATTGATATTATAACTATTAGAAAGTTTGCAAGAAAAGCGTAGAGATATATGGATGCATATAGGAAAGGATTAACACCCTCTACTGCTGAGTTTGCTGTAAAAAAATACAAATCACATCGAAGAATTCCTGAAAATATTGAATTGTAATGGCTGCATAATAATAAATAAATAATAAATTGCAGTTATAATGCATATTATAAAAATCTTATTGATGTTAAATTTGGTTTAATCAATTTAACTATTATTATTAATTGGTTTTAAATTTTAAAATTTAACACATGAACTATTAAGTATCTTTGCACTTAATACCTTGTTTGATTAAAATTTATTTGAATAAAGACTAATTATTATTAATTGAACTAATAAATTTATCAAATTCAATTGCATAAAATGTAACAAATGAATGCCTGATGGTATTTTAATATGCGATAATTAAAGTTGGTTTCAGAATATCCTAAAATCATGATTAAGTTGGTAATAACATTCAGTGAGTTGTTTTTTAATCTGGCCGGGTTTTATCTGAATAACCTAGGTGATTTTTTTTTATGAGTCCAATTGCCGCATGAAACAATCAATTATCAATTACGTACATATGTATATATATAAATATGTATTGTGAGGGGCAAAACCAATCCGAAATCTCAAAATATGGGCAATACGGCTATCAACCCACACTAATATAATCCAAAGCTCTATCAAACCCTAATGGTGGTAGGCTACGAAAGAGGCGTGGAAGGCTTGGTCCGAGTTATTAGGGCCAAATAGAGCTCTATACTACGTCATGAAGCTCTAATTCGGGATCACAGGATTAGAAGATTAATTATCAGGAAATTAGATGAACTATATGTGCAAAACGTTTTCTGACTTTATTCAAGGTAAACTCTTAGGCCTTATATACATTATTTGGTTACTATCTAATTCGCTAATTCTATCTATTATATCTAACATATAAA